AGTCCCTGTTCCCCTTACTAAGGCACTGGGTATCTTTTAAAGCAGAATAATGAAGGGTGCCCAGTGCTATGAGGGTAGCCTGACCTACTGTGTGCAAATCATGTCATAGATCAACTGCTGAGGCAGACCTGTGAGCAACAAGATGGGTGCTGGGCTGAGAAAAGCACTTATTGGAGTTTGAACATGAGAGTAAAAGTTAAGCGTGGAGTGGAGGCTGGCAGAGTGCACAGTGGGGATAAACACAGAAGTTAACATAGCCTGTAGTTCCAGGGAGTGCGCTGGCAGTGTGGTGACTGGCTGCGGAGCCCGGGAATGGAATGACTGCTGGCCCAACAGCTCAAATCACCTTGGGCAAAGGAAAAGCTATACGGCAGCTCTTCATTGCAGACAGCATGCATCAGGCAGCCATGTTACACAGAGAGGAGTCACCTGTGTCCGAAGAGGAGTTTAGGGAGGTGGAAGAGTATGCTGTACAACCATTTGACACGATGTTCTCCTTCCAGCGGAAGCATAGAAAGCTCTCAAAGCAGCAGGATCAAGAGTGGCACTTCTGAGTTTTAAACACCTGAACTTTTGTCAGTTTATGGACAAGTGTTTTACATTTTCCCCTGCACTAGAATGTCTGGCACACTTCCACACCGTATTGGTTTTTCCGGTCTGGGCTGTCTCCTTGACCCGTGCTCTCTGGCCTTCATCAACACCTGCTCATCTCACACGTTCTGCTGTGAACTAGATGTGAACAGCCTCCCAAACTCATATTTGATCTCTTTGCCCTGTCCCCAAAGTGATGAAATTAGGAAGTGGGGACTTGAGAGCTGAGGGGGTCCTGAGGGTAGAGATCTCATGAGTAAGATTTGTGGACTTTTTAAAAAGGTTCAAGAAAGACCCCCTCACCTCCTCCTCTGTGCAACGCAAAAGGGAGAGCTGTTTACTGACTTTGATATGGCCTTCAGCAGACATGGGATAAGCTGCTGCTCTGAAGCTGGACTTCCAGTATCCAGAACCAAAAGACTGAAGCTGAGTCCACTGTGGTGCCATGAGAGCACCTGCCAGTACTACGACAGAAAATGGGCAGTAAGAGCAGGCGGCTACTTAAAAAATACCTCCAACAGTGGAGGTAGCTTTCAAACGGCTGGTAGGCAGACACTGGGAGGGTTCTAAGTGTGGTGCCCAGAAAAGACTGACATGGCTACAAAGCAGCACCCAAGGGCAGCCATCGTGGCGGACTGAGGAGAAAAGAGGAGGGTACAGGGAAAGTTCTGGTCTTCTCAGAGACACCAAGGCAGAAATGACAGATGCATGCATGCAGCACTGCTCTGAAGAAGCCTCGGGCCCACTGGGTGTGAGGTGGGGAAGAATGTGGGCCTGCCGTGGAGATAGAGAGCTCATGAGTAGCAAGACAGGGTATTTGGCTGAGGAAAACATTTATTGAGGTGTGAAGACAAAATGTCTCCCATGAGCTCATGTGTTTGAACACTTGGTCCCTCCTTGCAGCTGTCCCATAGCTGCTGAAGGCTATGGAACTCACTCATTGGAGCAAGCGGGTCACTGCAGGAGGGCCTTGAGGTTTTAGAGCTAGGCTCACTTCCTGTCTGCTCTCTGCTTCCTGACTATAGATATAGGACCAGCTGTCTCATGCTCCTGCCAGCCCGCGTTCCCCACCATGATGACTGTACGCCTTTAAACTGTAAGCCAAAAGAAGCCCTTCCTCCCTTAAGTAGCTTCTCACCGGGTATGTGGGGCCAGTAATGTTCACTTATGCAACATCTAAGTGAAGGTACAACCAGGCTTCCATCACCTTCTTGTGGTAAAATAAAGAAAGATTAAAAAAATGATTTAAAGAAAGAACTCCTCCTTGAAGCACATGGGGAGACCCCAGCTGGATGGACACTCCACCATCCTCTGCTTATTCTCTCCAGCTCAGCATGGGTCATAATTTACTCTCTTGTCATTCATGGAGTGTTGCACGACTTAGCACACAGCCTCTTCTCAAAGTAACAATAGCTGCTGAATGACTATTTTGTGAATGAATGAAACCAGGAATGAGTTAACACTCAGAAATGAGAACTTAAACAGAAAGCTTCCCGAGGAAGTCAGAAGCATAAAACCAAACTGCACTTACCTACAACTTGGGTCATTAATATCACAGAGCCCGTGTTGCCACGAATGATCCAAGCCTTTGCCATAGGACACGCTGAGTGATTTATAATTTCTTAAAATTGTTTTATACTGGTATCATAAGAAGACCAGGTTTATCTCTTGGATCATGAACTATATGAAAACATGTTGACTAAGACAGATGGTGGACATCCCCCATACACAATTAAGGGGGTCAGCAGTAGGCAGCACCCACACTTTCAGAAAGTGTTTGCCCTCCTCCCTGAAGCAGGAGAAATGGCATCTGCTCAGCCTCTGGCATAGGCCAAAAGTGTGCAGAGACCCCAGCACATTCCCAGTTCCCGTGGCAGGCCCCATCCAGGGGAAGACAAGGTGATCCTCATAGCATTTCAGGCTCCTCTCACAGGAAGGTCAGAAATGGCCCCAAGCCCTGGGTCTCCGGCTTCCAACTCAAAACCCAAACTGCCCTGCAAGGGGTCTCCAGGGCCTAACATACATTCATACATGTCATTAACAATCACATTAAATATGAATGTGCTGCAAGCCACTGCACAAGTGAGGCATTAGCATAGAAATGAAGATGATGGCGTATTTACACAATGAAATATTAATAGCAATCAAAATGAAAGAACTGGATTTATACTTAGCTCTAAAGTACAATGCTTATTTTAAGTTTCAAAAGGACACATATGATAGGGAAGTACTTGTAAGATTTTTTTTTTTTAAAAGATTCTCAAAATAGCATTGGTTGTGGATACACATGCACACAGTAAAGAGAGAAGGGCAGACACAAATGGTGTCTGTAGAGGAATCCCCCTGGGAGGACGAAAAGACAGGGGTGGAGGTGGTGATGTGATTGCTGCTTAGCTATTCTTTCTGTGGCTTAGTTATCCTGATATTTCCTTTTGAGATTTTTTTTTTTTCAAATATAAAGCTTAAAGTGAGCCTAAGTTTGGCTTATCACTAGCCACCCACCCCTTTGGCCTCGGAGCATCCATTAATCGCAGTGATTTGCAATGCATGTCAGGCTGCTGCTGGGGTCGAGCCCCGAGCCCAGACTCCCCTGTACTTCTATTTTTACCCGTGGCACCACACTGGTTTGCCATGTTTTCCTTTGATGTGCAGCCGGCATACTCTAATCTCAGGTGAATCTATGCTGGGTTTTAAAGGATATAGACATTTGTGGAAAACAAACTCCCACTGAGTTACCCTATCAGACCACCACATAGAAAATTACCTTCCTCTTTTTCTAGACCAAGCCCTGTCCTAAACTCTCTAGAGGAAAACCACATTGAGACGCCCCTAACTGGAGGCTGGTTCTGTGCGTTGTCTCAACCTTCCTGAGGTTACAACCCTTTAATATGGTTCTTCATGCTGTGGTGATCCCCCACCCACAAAATCATTTTTGTTGCTATGTCTTAACTGTAGTTTTGCTACTGTTATAAATTGTAAGGTAAATATCTGTGTGTCTCCCAATGGTCTCAGGTGATCCCCGAGGGGGTCGTGGCCCACAGGTTGAGAACCGCTTCTCTGGAACCTCACAGAAATGGCACTATCAGACAACGGAGAGCTCTGTTGTGCTCTCCTCTGTCTTGTTTGGGGGGGAGGGGTGCTTGGTACCATCCCTGTGTACCTCTTATACCTCTTTTGATGACCATGTTTTCGTTTTTAAGTCAATTTTGTGTGTGTGTGTGTGTGTGTGTGTGTGTGTGTGCATGCTCGTGCGTACACGTTTACATACGTAGGCACACTTGTCTGTGCAAGCATGTGTAGAGGCCAGAAGCCAGCTTGAAGTGTCGTCCCTTGTTGCTCTCTACCTTTATCTTTGAGACAGGCTCTCTCTTTGAACGTGGACCTTTCCGTCTTGGGCTAGGCGGGCTGGGGAATCCAAGGGGTCGTCCTGACTCTAGCCCTCTGCACTCCCACCAGCCCTGGCATTACAAGTGTGCACAGCGCACCTGGCTTTTCCGTGGACTCTGGGGAATCCAAACTCCGGTCCTTGGACTTGCACAGCAAACACTTTACCCTCTGAGCCATCTTTCCAGCCCCTTGACTTATTAACTTATTCACTGTTTTGCACATGTGTGCATGTGGCAAGTGTGTGCATGCTCGCCTGTGTGTAGGGGTGCGTAGGTGGGGGGGGACATGTGTCTGTGGCAGCTCAAGGTTGATGTCGAGGGCCTTCTTCAGTTGCTCTCCACCTTGCGTACTGAAGCCAAGTCTCTGGCTGAGCCTGGAGTTCATCTTATCAGCTGCTGGGCTAGGTAGCTCAGCGTGTGTGTGTGTGTGTGTGTGTGTGTGTGTGTGTGTGTGTGTGTGTAGGGGGTGGCTAATAACTACGGTTGGAACAGCAGGGCCAAGGGCAAGTGTATGTCTGGCCTTAGAAGGAGGCTGTGTCTTTGTCCCCAGCGGCTGCAGTATTTTCTTTCAGGCAAGCAGGAGAGTTCCAGGCACTCTGCATCCTCCCCAGTGCTCTCTCTGTGTCTTTTCATCTCCCTGTTTCTGATGAATGTGCAGTAGCTTCTCCCTGCGATTTCTGCATTTGCATTTCCCTGCTGACTAATAATACCAATGTCAGCTATTTGGGGGGGGGGGGGGAAAGGTTTATTCTTTAGAATAAGACAGAGATGGGGATAGATAAAGAGATCTAGAGCAAACATAGGGGGAAAGCTTAGATCTTAGACGCAGGCTTGCTGGTCTGTTGTTGATGTTAAATCTGGGACCTCACGAGACCTGTCTGCAATCTGTCTACACACTGAACTTGAAGGACTGGCCTCTTGGTGTAGGGAGAAGCCCCAAAGAGAATAAGGAGGGGCGTCTGCATATTACCAAGCTCTGCCCACCTGGATCCTGGCCTCACTCTGCCTCTGCAGGACACTTACCGCTGGCACTCACTGGCATGCAGGATGAGCTCCGAGTTGTTCCTGGCGAAGACTGTCAGCTCGTGCTCTGTGGAGTTGAAGACGTCAAGGAGCAGGTGGCACTGCCGGGTGCTGTGTGGAGAGACAGAGGGAAGTTCAGAGAGCTCCAACAGCAAAGAGAAGCAACTTTGCCCTTCTCTCCTCTCCAGGGACTTCCCACTACTTGGGGATGTGCAAAGGTGTCGTTTATGACAATGCCAATGCCTCTGGACACGTGCTCAGAACTTCGCCACACTCTTTATGAACCAAATGACCTTGGAAAGTACCTCGATTCTTCAAGCCTCAGAAGGGATGGGCAGCCAGCTCTTAAGATCATTTGTACACACGCTGTACAGTGTCACTCAAGAAAGGCTGTGTTGAAATGAGGAAGTCTTCAGCTACCCAAGACTGAGCAAATGGACTGGGTACTGGGATGTGAAGAACTGGGCCCCACTTGTTTTTGCTGACCTCTCTATAAGCTTCGTAGGCAGGAACTCCAAACTATTTCTCTTCAGAGCTGTGGCAAATAATGCTGGCTAGCTAATTCATCAGGCATTTAAAGCCTTCCCTCACTTTGCTTTCTGCACAGTAGGAGGCAAAATTCTCAATTTCCAAAGTCTTGTAGCAAGGGCTACTCCCAATGACCACACCCCAACCAATGAGCCACAGGCTTCTCAGGCCCCAAATAACAGAGCCAGGAAGGAGTCTCCCTGGTTTCACTTCCTTCCTCCTTGGAATAAGCAGGAGGTCTTGAAGCTCAGCAACAGTTAAGAGATGAGAATGAAGCCATAGGCTCTGGATGGCAGAGCTAGGGCCATAAGGAGCTGGAAAACTAGGCACCTCCTGTAGCAACAGTGTCCAATCCCCACTGCCTCCTCTCTATGAACTTTTTAGTGACATGGCTGAACTATTTTAAATGTACCAACAGCCCGTGCTTTCTTTGTGTTGTCACCACAGTTGAGTGCTTGCCTGAAACTAACACAGCCTCCCAAACACCAGGTGTCATGGTGAGCACATGACAGGAAATCAAAAAGGGACAGCCATGGCCATTGCAAGAGCAGAGTAAGAGGGAAGTTGTGCTGGCCTTGGAGAGGCAGAATGAATCCTTTGTCTTATGGGCAGGGGAGAGATACAGATACAAGGAGCTGCTCTCACGGTCATCTCTAGCTCTGCGTGGAATCAAAACCTGACGTTATGGGCAGCATCTGACTTCTCAGGTGTGTCTCCCATGCAGCACGGAGGACTCTGCTGGTTGTTTGCAAAGACAAGCCAAAGGAATAGAGAGCACTGTAGGATTTTGCCTTTGTGTCCTGACACTTGTGGGAGGAAAGTGCAGGGGGAAGGAGGCTAGGGCGAGGACTGCTGGGCTGGTGGCTGAGACTCTAGACTCCGAGCTCAAGTTTTGCCTGTACACCTGGCAGGCTATCTTGATCACACCTGTCCTTTGCTCCCTTGAGAGGAGGAATCATAGAGAGGAGATTGTGGGAACACATCGAGGGTTCACACACACACACACACACACACACACACACACACACACTGCAGCAGGCACTGTGTCAGGAAGCGATCTTTGCAAGTGTGCATGTTGGGCCTCTCAAGGGAGAGGGGCAGAGGCACAGCGTGACCATCTCTGGTACAGAGAGTGCCAGTGTGGCATCAGAGGTCTTCAGGGGATATTCTCACATTGTTGATGCTGGAGCTCGGGGCAAGCGTGTCCTCCCCAGGGGCACTGGCATTTGGAACATGCTCAGACAGCTGTCTATAAGCAGGCTCATTCCCTGTCGCCGAGGCAAAGAAGACTCCAGGGATGAAGATCTGGCCTGCCTTCGTGCTAACTTCATGAAATCTTTAATCACAGCAAAATCTTTCATCAAATACGGGAACTCATAAAACATTAATGGAGGTGGGGCACACTTTTTAAAACCTAGGACAGAAGGCTGTTTTCACTTGCAGAGCTCAGCACCCAGGAAGCTGTATAGGGGTGTGGCACAGATAACACAATGGCTGCCGTACTCTCTGTTCGAAGTCGTCGTCTTCGTGGGGCTTCTGGGCTGGTGTTTCTTTTGCTCCTGTCAACACGATGATATATTGGTGGATCTTTGTTTTCTATCTGTTCCTCATAACTTAATTCTTGTCCCAGACAGTAGTAGTGTTTTGTGCCAACCATAATATCATTTGCTCGTGTGTCTTTCCACATCACTGTGGCTGATTTTTTTTTTTTATGAGTTATTGGGACACACAATTTACTTTTCATTCTTGTTTAATTCTTGATTTTTGTTTGCTTTTCTGGATTCACCTTTCTGAAGAAAATGGAAGCCTAGAAAGTTTTTTGGTTTTTGTTGTTGTTGTTTTGTTTTGTTTTGTTTTGTTTTTTTCAGAAGAAGTGAAGTCAGAGCAAGCCTTTGAGGGCAGATAAACTTGCATAGAAAGTGGTAGGTTTGGGTCTATGACCAAGGTGGGCAAATGGTTAAGAGGAACTCCAGCTGCCAGATGGTATATGTCTGCCAATCCTCCTGTGATTCTCCTCACAGACTTACAAGTCTCCCCTGCATGTCAGCTACTATTGTAAGCACACATGTGAGAAAGGGACATGAGGTAGAAAGGCAAGTTCTCTGCTTGCTTGTAACTTGAATTGGGGAGAGAGCACAGGAAGAGGGGGTTAAAAAATTAAAACAATCTTTTCCATGGCGTTAAAAGCAACAGATCAAAAAAGGTTGCAGGGTAAAGCCTCACATTATTGGTAATATTCATTTGTACAACTACAGGGAAAAATAGTTAAGAGTGTGGATTTATAAATGCATTGCAGCCCAGAAGACATTTAGGAGTAAATGTAATAAATGTATGTTAAGACATTTATGTAAACTACTTAAATGTTGCAAAATAATTTGTAAAGAAGTCAAATGAATAAAGAGATATTTAATGCTTGAGGATAAGAAGACTGTATTTTAAAAGAAGTCACAGTTCTCCGTATCTACATGTATTCAATGCACCTTAATAAAAAAGGGGACAATATAGTCATAGTTTTAGTAAAATCTGTTTTAATTTCATATGTTAAAAAAAAGTGCCAAGAACATTCAAAACAATGATGATGAGGATGTTGGAAAGATCTAACTTGCTAGACATAAGGAAATCTTCCAGAGCATAAATGAGGGAAAACAGCCAGGAGCATGTCCACAAGCTGGGAACTGGAGCTCTAACTAAGACGCGATGCTCTCTGCAAGGAAGATTCCAGAAGAGCCCTAGGACATGTGGTTATATGCACAGGAAATTATATCCCTACCTCACACCATGAGCTGAAAAGTAGAGCAAATGGCTAAGTATGGTATGGCCATATCCTCAGAATTCAAACATTCATTCAGAGACTCCCTTCTACAGGGAGGACAGGAACTGATTCAACTGACAAAGCTCAGGAAACTCAGAATGTTACAAGACTCCCAAGGCCTTTCCTTACAGTTGTAAGTCAGTAAACAATTCCTGAGAGGTGAGACTCTCCTATTAGCAAGGTATGTAGGAAGCAAGAGGGATGCAGCTTCCATGAGCTGCTCCCCCCACCCCCACCCCCGCTAGGGTAGGATTTAGGGTGATTCTGCTGTTCTAGGGTCATCAGTATTCTCCTAAATAACCCCATTCAATAAACTAGCCTTGTGGGGTGGGGGGTGGTTCTTTGTTCTGTCAGTGATGTTCTGCCTGTGGTCAACAGATGTTTGCAACCGCACAGAAAGTCATGCGATACTACCTAAAATGTATTTTTAAATCAAAAAGTTTAACGCAAATAAGCAGCTTGAAAAAGTGAAATATTTCACAAAGGATTTATGACAAGTGAAAAGTATAAAAGAAAGACAGCACATTTGGAAGTGTTAAAGTTATAAACTTTGGTATAAATGGAAACCTTTAAAAAGCTAAGACAAGCTACTGGTGAAAAGGTATTTGCAATATATTATACTGACAAGGAATTAGAATTCTGATTTCATGGAGAATTCACATAAATCAATAAGAAATGACTCAGTACGAAATCAAGCAGAGGGTGGGAAGGGAGAGTCAAAACTGGAGGAAATCCAATGGGCAGTAAACAGACACTCAATCAAGCTAGCAGCCAGAGGAAGAAATCAAACTATAAGACACTATTTCCCACTCAACTTAATGGAAACACTTAAAAGTATTCCAGGACCAAGTTTTGGCCAAGATGTATATCAGCAAAAAGTAAGGTGTAAATAAATTGATACAACCTCAGAAGAAGAAGAAAAGAGAAGAAAAAGAAGAGGAGGAGGAGGAGAAGGAGGAGGAGGAGGAGGAGAAGTTGTTCAAGGGGTAAAGGGGGTGGTTGCCTCTTCAAGCTGTGAATAAACATACTCAGACCTAATAATTCCACGTCAACATGTATTAACTAAGAGGGCTCCCACAAAGACTTGCTCAAAAATGTTCACTGCAATATGGTTGACAAAAGCTCCTTTTAACTAGGCACAAACCAAAAGGAAAGAAGATGGAACAGTGTGGCTGGGGATTAAAAACTGTACAGAAGTGGAAATGAGCTTGCCAAACAGCCTACCTTGTCCAGATTTGGTTTAAATGAGAATGGCCCCAGTAGGCTCAGATGTTCAAATACTTGGTCCCAGTTTGAAGAGCTATTTGGGAAGGATTAGGAGACGTGGCCTTGGTGGAGGAGATATGTCATTGGTGGTGGTCTTTGAGGTTCCAAAAGCCCACAACCATTTCCAGTTGGAGCTCTCAGCTTTGTGCTTGTGGATCAAGATGGAAGCTCTCAGCCACTGCTCCAGTGCCATGCTGCCTGCTGCCATGATCCCTACCACGGTGGTCATGGACTCTAAGCCTCTGGAACTGTAAGTCCCAAATAAACGCCTGCAGAAGTTGCCTTGGTCACACTGTTTCATGTCGGTGATAGAAAATTAACTAAGACACATGGATATATCCCGTGCTAACGATGCCACAAAAGGAAGTTGCAGAAAGTAACACATAACTATACACGTATGTCAACTTTTAAAGATTTTTTTTTTCAAAAATACTTCATACTGTTAAAAAAAAACCATTAATTTAGTTTTTACTAGTGGTGAGGAAGAATATAGAGTTTTTACAGT